TTCATGTATCTCCTCATTCCCCCTCCCTCAGGAATGCAAGCAGCGTATGATGCTGAGACCTGCCTAACAATTCCTCTGCCAAATAAAACAAACCTTACAAAACCAGGTACCCTCTCCCCCCCATAAAAAAAAAAAAAAGTACCAAGAAACATAAGGCTCCTTTATCCACCAAGATACCAAGATGTTGATTGTTATGGCCAATGCCACATATACACTGTATTGCCAAAAGTATTGAGACACTCCTCCAAATCATTGGATTCAGGTGTTCCAATCACCTCTATGGCCACAGGTGTATAAAATCAAGCCCCTAGGCATGCAGACTGCTTCTACAAACATTTGTGAAAGAATGGGCCGCTCTCAGGAACTCAGTGAATTCAAGCGTGGTACTGTGATAGGTTGATACTAAATATTCCACGGTCAACTATTAGTGGTATTATAACAAAATGGAAGCAACTTGGAACAACAGCAACTCAGCCACGAAATGGTAGGCCACGTAAAATGACAGAGTGGGGTCAATGCATGCTGAAGCACACAGTGCACAGATGTTGCCAACTAAAGACCTCCAAACTTCATGTGGCCTTCAGATTAGCACAACAACAGTGTGTAGAGAGCTTCATGGAATGGGTTTGCATAGCTGAGCAGATACACCCAAGCCTTACATCACCAAGTGTAGTGCAAAGCGTCAGATGCAGTGGTGTAAAGCACGCCACAACTAGACTCTAGAGTTTTTCTGTCTGGCAATCTGATGGACGTGTCTTGGTTTGGTGGTTGCCAAGAGAAGGGTACTTGCCTGACTGCATTGTGCCAAGTGTAAAGTTTGGTGGAGGGGGGATTATGGTCTGGGGTTGTTTTTTCAGGGGTCGGTCTTGGCCCCTTAGTTCCAGTGAAGGTGTCAGCATACCAAGACATTTTGGACAATTTCATGCTCCCGAGTTTGTAGAAATGGTTTGGGAATGAACCCTTCCTATTCCAACATACTGTAACTGCGCACAAGTGTACAAAGCAAGGTCTATAAAGACATGGATGAGCGAGTTTGGGGTGGAGGAACTTGACTTTCCTGCACAGAGTCCTGACCTCAACCCGATAGAACACCTCTTGGATGAATTAGAGCAAGGACTGCGAGCCAGGCATCAGTGCCTGACCTCACAAATGCGCTTCTGGACGTATGGTCAAATATTCCCATAGTCCAGAGGTGGGCAACTGTGGCCCTCCAGCTGTTGTAGAACTACAAGTCCTATGAGGCATTGCAAAACTGACAGTTACAAGCATGACTCCCAAAGGCAGAGGCATGATGGGACTTGTAGTTCACCAACAGCTGGAGGGCCACAGTTGCCCACCCCTGCCATAGACACACTCCTAACCTTGTGGACAGCCTTCTCAGAAGAGTTGAAGCTGTTATAGCTGCAAAGGGTGGGCCAACTCTATATTGAGCCCTACAGACTAAGACTGGGATGCCATTAAAGTTCATGTGCATGTAAAGGCAGGTGTCCCAGTACTTTTGGCAATATAGTTTATGGGGTACATACTGCACTCAGTGGCACTAGCTCTTTCATTGTATCTTTAGTGACCCTTGTACTTGTGTCTCTGTCCTCAGTTTTTTTTCATACTAAGACTAAATATCAAATCCCACAGAAATGTTTAACAGATATATTTCATACTAGGACAGGTTATTACCTTTCTAATTACACCCCTAAGTTCGACCATTAGAGGATATTGTTAGTTTCAGTTTTGGACATGCAAGGGATTAGAGATGAGCGAATCGAACATGGCGAAGTGGAATTCGTTTCGAAGATCAGGAAAAATTCGATTCGCGCCGAATCCGAAAATTAGCAAACTTCGGATGCACGAATCGAATTTTTCCCAAAAATGGCGGCGACATGTGTGGCGACGGAGCGGGGATCTCTGGGAAGGCGCGCAGACAAGGCGCGCTGACCCATAATGCATTCATTCATGACATGTGATCGCATTAGCCAATCAGCAGCCAGCCAGCACTGTGTAATGGTGGAGCTATAAATTGCGGCCATCTTAGAATTCTCCATTAGCCTCCGGTCATTCAAGAGAGACAGACCTCTGTGTATTAGGGACAGAGTTAGGGCCACAGAGACTTTAGGGCCACAGAATCGTTACTTAGGGCCACAGAATCGTTACTTAGGGCCACAGAATCGTTACTCAGGGACACAGAATTGTTACTCAGGGACACAGAATTGTTACTCAGGGACAGACACAGAATTGTTACTCAGGGACACAGAATTGTTACTCAGGGACACAGAATCGTTACTCAGGGACACAGAATTGTTACTCAGGGACACAGAATTGTTACTCAGGGACACAGAATTGTTACTCAGGGACACAGAATTGTTACTCAGGGACACAGAATTGTTACTCAGGGACACAGAATTGTTACTCAGGGACACAGAATTGTTACTCAGGGACACAGAATTGTTACTCAGGGACACAGAATTGTTACTCAGGGGACACAGAATTGTTACTCAGGGACACAGAATTGTTACTCAGGGACACAGAATTGTTACTCAGGGACACAGAATCGTTACTCAGGGACACAGAATTGTTACTCAGGGACACAGAATCGTTACTGAGGGACACAGAAATCGTTACTCAGGGACACAGAATCGTTACTCAGGGACACAGAATCGTTACTGAGGGACACAGAATCGTTACTCAGGGACACAGAATCGTTACTCAGGTTACTCAGGGACACAGAATTGTTACTCAGGGACACAGAATTGTTACTCAGGGACACAGAATTGTTACTGAGGGACACAGAATCGTTACTGAGGGACACAGAATCGTTACTGAGGGACACAGAATCGTTACTTAGGGACACAGAATCGTTACTCAGGGGACACAGAATCGTTACTCTGGGACAGGGACACAGAATTGTTACTCAGGGACACAGAATTGTTACTCAGGGGACACAGAATTGTTACTCGGGGACACAGAATTGTTACTCAGGGACACAGAATTGTTACTCAGGGGACACAGAATTGTTACTCAGGGACACAGAATTGTTACTCAGGGACACAGAATTGTTACTCAGGGACACAGAATTGTTACTCAGGGACACAGAATTGTTACTCAGGGACACAGAATTGTTACTCAGGGACAGACACAGAATTGTTACTGAGGGACACAGAATTGTTACTGAGGGACACAGAATTGTTACTCTAGGGACACAGAATTGTTACTGAGGGACACAGAATTGTTACTGAGGGACACAGAATCGTTACTGAGGGACACAGAATCGTTACTCAGGGACACAGAATCGTTACTGAGGGACACAGAATTGTTACTCAGGGACACAGAATCGTTACTCAGGGACACAGTTACTCAGGGAGACACAGAATGTTACTCAGGGACACAGAATCGTTACTGAGGGACACAGAATCGTTACTGAGGGACACAGAATCGTTACTGAGGGACACAGAATCGTTACTCAGGGACACAGAATCGTTACTCAGGGACACAGAATCGTTACTCAGGGACACAGAATCGTTACTCAGGGACACAGAATCGTTACTCAGGGACACAGAATCGTTACTCAGGGGACACAGAATCGTTGAATTAAAGAGTATGTCAGACAACACGCAGAGGAGTGGCAGAGGAGGCAATGTTTTCAGGAGCGAGCAGACGTGGCAGCAGAGGAAGGGGTCGAGGCAGCACTAGTCGCAGCCAGAGGCCAGTGCTCCCGGTGTCATCCAGCGGTCGTGTCTCCACCGACAACCCTGCCCCGTCATCGATTGGTTGGCTCGGTCGTCTTCCTCTTCCCAGGTCACCTCTGACACCTACAGCCAACGGTCGGTGGGTACGTCAGACACAACCGTTAGTTGGCATGGCCCGGGAGCAAGCCCACTGAAATCACGTGTCCTCTACCTGCCCCTGTCCTTTGGTGTTCCCTCACCAAGCGAAGTATCGCATGCTGTGGGCTCAGCCCCACTGTACAGTGAGGAAGAGCTAACAGAGGGCGGTCAGGAACGGGGGGAGACATCCGCCTCTTCAGCAGCCAGGCGAAGAAGTACTGGCGAGGAGAGTGGCTCGGTAGCCGGTCTAGAGACAGGTCTGTCTCCTGACCCACACGCAGCCGAGGGGGCTAGTAGTGAGGCGGAGACCCTAATTGATGATGATGAGGCTGATCGCACTTGGCAGCCTCGTCGTCATCAGGCTATTGCTTCCGCATCATCAGGAGAAGAGGGTGCCAGCTTGGCAGCGAGCAAAACAGTCGGTGGGTTGCCCAGGAGGCAGCAGGGTCGCAGCAGTGTCAGTGGAGGCAAACGGCCACGGAGTAGAGCACCAGCTCCACTGCAGCCTACCACCACGGCCAGTAGTGGTGCCGGTGTGCACGGAGGAAGTAGCAGTCAGCCAGTGAGGAGTAGCGGGGGCAAAGTTTCCTACTCGGCGTGTGTGGCAATTTTTCGTCAAGCCGCCCCCGAGGAAGTAAACGTAGCCGTATGTCGACTATGTGGCCAGAAAGTCAAGCGTGGCCAGGGGGCCCATGTTGGGACTGCAGCGTTTGCTCAGCATATGCAGCGTCGCCATTCGGTGGCCTGGGAAAACCGTGATAAAGATACGGCGGTTCTGCCTGCCCCAGCCCCCGCTCCATCACCCGCTCCGTTACTTGCTCCGTCACCCGACGTCAATCGCCCTCTATCAGCCTTCAAGGCCCGTAATCTGCCATGGGCCCCCGTACCGACTCCTCATGCTGCTGCCAGCCCGTAATCTGTCATGGGCCGCTGTACCGCCTCCTCATGCTGCTGCCAGGTCCAGAGTGTGTCATGGGTCCCTGTACGGCCTCCCATTGCTGCTGTCTCCATCGCCACACTCTGCCATGTGCCACTTTCAGGTCTCCTCTCACACTGCTGTGGGTTCCATTTTGTCATAGGGTGCTGGCAGATTACGGGCCTCCCATTGCTGCTGCCAGGCCCGTAATCTGCCATGGGCCCCCGTACTGACTCCTCATGCTGCTGCCAGGCCCGTAATCTGTCATGGGCCCCTGTACCGCCTCCTCATGCTGCTGCCAGGTCCAGAGTGTGTCATGGGTCCCTGTACGGCCTCCCATTGCTGCTGTCTCCATCGCCACACTCTGCCATGTGCCACTTTCAGGTCTCCTCACACTGCTGGTGGGTTCCATTTTGTCATAGGGTGCTGGCAGATTACGGGCCTCCCATTGCTGCTGCCAGGCCCGTAATCTGCCATGGGCCCCCGTACCGACTCCTCATGCTGCTGCCAGGCCCGTAATCTGTCATGGGCCCCTGTACCGCCTCCTCATGCTGCTGCCAGGTCCAGAGTGTGTCATGGGTCCCTGTACGGCCTCCCATTGCTGCTGTCTCCATCGCCACACTCTGCCATGTGCCACTTTCAGGTCTCCTCACACTGCTGGTGGGTTCCATTTTGTCATAGGTGCTGGCAGATTACGGGCCTCCCCATTGCTGCTGCCAGGCCCGTAATCTGCCATGGGCCCCCGTACCGACTCCTCATGCTGCTGCCAGGCCCGTAATCTGTCATGGGCCCCTGTACCGCCTCCTCATGCTGCTGCCAGGTCCAGAGTGTGTCATGGGTCCCTGTACGGCCTCCCATTGCTGCTGTCTCCATCGCCCCTACTCTGCCATGTGCCACTTTCAGGTCTCCTCACACTGCTGGTGGGTTCCATTTTGTCATAGGTGCTGGCAGATTACGGGCCTCCCATTGCTGCTGCCAGGCCCGTAATCTGCCATGGGCCCCCGTACCGACTCCTCATGCTGCTGCTGCCAGGCCCGTAATCTGTCATGGGCCCCGTACCGCCTCCTCATGCTGCTGCCAGGTCCAGAGTGTGTCATGGGTCCCTGTACGGCCTCCCATTGCTGCTGTCTCCATCGCCACACTCTGCCATGTGCCACTTTCAGGTCTCCTCACACTGCTGTGGGTTCCATTTTGTCATAGGGTGCTGGCAGATTACGGGCCTCCCATTGCTGCTGCCAGGCCCGTAATCTGCCATGGGCCCCCGTACCGACTCCTCATGCTGCTGCCAGGCCCGTAATCTGTCATGGGCCCCTGTACCGCCTCCTCATGCTGCTGCCAGGTCCAGAGTGTGTCATGGGTCCCTGTACGGCCTCCCATTGCTGCTGTCTCCATCGCCCTACTCTGCCATGTGCCACTTTCAGGTCTCCTCACACTGCTGGTGGGTTCCATTTTGTCATAGGGTGCTGGCAGATTACGGGCCTCCCATTGCTGCTGCCAGGCCCGTAATCTGCCATGGGCCCCCGTACCGACTCCTCATGCTGCTGCCAGGCCCGTAATCTGTCATGGGCCCCTGTACCGCCTCCTCATGCTGCTGCCAGGTCCAGAGTGTGTCATGGGTCCCTGTACGGCCTCCCATTGCTGCTGTCTCCATCGCCACACTCTGCCATGTGCCACTTTCAGGTCTCCTCACACTGCTGTGGGTTCCATTTTGTCATAGGGTGCTGGCAGATTACGGGCCTCCCATTTGCTGCTGCCAGGCCCGTAATCTGCCATGGGCCCCCGTACCGACTCCTCATGCTGCTGCCAGGCCCGTAATCTGTCATGGGCCCCTGTACCGCCTCCTCATGCTGCTGCCAGGTCCAGAGTGTGTGTCATGGGTCCCTGTACGGCCTCCCATTGCTGCTGTCTCCATCGCCACACTCTGCCATGTGCCACTTTCAGGTCTCCTCACACTGCTGGTGGGTTCCATTTTGTCATAGGGTGCTGGCAGATTACGGGCCTCCCATTGCTGCTGCCAGGCCCGTAATCTGCCATGGGCCCCCGTACCGACTCCTCATGCTGCTGCCAGGCCCGTAATCTGTCATGGGCCCCTGTACCGCCTCCTCATGCTGCTGCCAGGTCCAGAGTGTGTCATGGGTCCCTGTACGGCCTCCCATTGCTGCTGTCTCCATCGCCACACTCTGCCATGTGCCACTTTCAGGTCTCCTCACACTGCTGGTGGGTTCCATTTTGTCATAGGGTGCTGGCAGATTACGGGCCTCCCATTGCTGCTGCCAGGCCCGTAATCTGCCATGGGCCCCCGTACCGACTCCTCATGCTGCTGCCAGGCCCGTAATCTGTCATGGGCCCCTGTACCCGCCTCCTCATGCTGCTGCCAGGTCCAGAGTGTGTCATGCGTCCCTGTACGGCCTCCCATTGCTGCTGTCTCCATCGCCACACTCTGCCATGTGCCACTTTCAGGTCTCCTCACACTGTTGGTGGGTTCCATTTTGTCATAGGGTGCTGGCAGATTACGGGCCTCCCATTGCTGCTGCCAGGCCCGTAATCTGCCATGGGCCCCCGTACCGACTCCTCATGCTGCTGCCAGGCCCGTAATCTGTCATGGGCCCCTGTACCACCTCCTCATGCTGCTACCAGGTCCAGAGTGTGTCATGGGTCCCTGTACGGCCTCCCATTGCTGCTGTCTCCATCGCCACACTCTGCCATGTGCCACTTTCAGGTCTCCTCACACTGCTGGTGGGTTCCATTTTGTCATAGGGTGCTGGCAGATTGCGGGCCTCCCATTGCTGCTGCCAGGCCCGTAATCTGCCATGGGCCCCCGTACCGACTCCTCATGCTGCTGCTGCCAGGCCCGTAATCTGTCATGGGCCCCTGTACCCGCCTCCTCATGCTGCTGCCAGGTCCAGAGTGTGTCATGGGTCCCTGTACGGCCTCCTATTGCTGCTGTCTCCTCCATCGCCACACTCTGCCATGTGCCACTTTCAGGTCTCCTCACACTGCTGGTGGGTTCCATTTTGTCATAGGGTGCTGGCAGATTACGGGCCTCCCATTGCTGCTGCCAGGCCCGTAATCTGCCATGGGCCCCCGTACCGACTCCTCATGCTGCTGCCAGGCCCGTAATCTGTCATGGGCCCCTGTACCGCCTCCTCATGCTGCTGCCAGGTCCAGAGTGTCATGCGTCCCTGTACGGCCTCCCATTGCTGCTGTCTCCATCGCCACACTCTGCCATGTGCCACTTTCAGGTCTCCTCACACTGTTGGTGGGTTCCATTTTTGTCATAGGGTGCTGGCAGATTACGGGCCTCCCATTGCTGCTGCCAGGCCCGTAATCTGCCATGGGCCCCCGTACCGACTCCTCATGCTGCTGCCAGGCCCGTAATCTGTCATGGGCCCCTGTACCACCTCCTCATGCTGCTACCAGGTCCAAGTGTGTCATGGGTCCCTGTACGGCCTCCCATTGCTGCTGTCTCCATCGCCACACTCTGCCATGTGCCACTTTCAGGTCTCCTCACACTGCTGGTGGGTTCCATTTTGTCATAGGGTGCTGGCAGATTGCGGGCCTCCCATTGCTGCTGCCAGGCCCGTAATCTGCCATGGGCCCCCGTACCGACTCCTCATGCTGCTGCTGCCAGGCCCGTAATCTGTCATGGGCCCCTGTACCGCCTCCTCATGCTGCTGCCAGTCCAGAGTGTGTCATGGGTCCCTGTACGGCCTCCTATTGCTGCTGTCTCCATCGCCACACTCTGCCATGTGCCACTTTCAGGTCTCCTCACACTGCTGTGTGGTTCCATTTTGTCATAGGGTGCTGGCAGATTACGGGCCTCCCATTGCTGCTGCCAGGCCCGTAATCTGCAATGGGCCCCCGTACCGACTCATCATGCTGCTGCCAGGCCCGTAATCTGTCATGGGCCCCTGTACCGCCTCCTCATGCTGCTGCCAGGTCCAGAGTGTGTCATGGGTCCCTGTACGGCCTCCCATTGCTGCTGTCTCCATCGCCACACTCTGCCATGTGCTACTTTCAGGTCTCCTCACACTGCTGGGGGTTCCATTTTTTTCATAGGGTGCTGTATGGCCTCCCATTGCTGCTGCCTCCACCGCCACACTGTGGCTCCACACTCTGGTTTTGGCCCCGTGACTGCCCAAATGAGTGAAGTGTGCGGTGATTCTAAGATCGACGGCACTCATCTGCATGTCATACTGACTGACAGTATTATTTCTCTTCCCAGCAGACTCCAAGGCATTTAAATTAAAGGTACAGTGTTCTGCACTAATATAAAGGCTCTCTGAAGCCTAGAAACACCCTTTTTATAAGTTAAATTCGCAGCGAATATATTCGACTCGAATCGAAATTATTCCGCGAATTCGCCAAATCAGCCGAATCGAATTTTTGAATAATTCGCTCATCTCTACAAGGGATCAATTTATAAAACCTGCACAAATATTCCCTGTATTTTCTTTAATACTATGACTTCCTAAGATCAATAACTCCCTCTGTTGGCCAAAATGTGTTACATTTTTCTGAAATACCCTCAGTTGTATAATATACTGCATTTAGGCCACCAGATGGAGTTGATGATATACTAAGTCATAGTTTTAGAGAAAATGCAAGAAGAAATATGTGCAGCCCAGACAAATGATTGTGACATTCATCCAATTAATGTTTTATTAATAGACCTGGGCAGCTTCTATACAGTATAGGAATAGCATAGAGATTACACCTATTTATTCATTAGAGCAGGCTTGCTCATCAATGATACACTGAAGGAGGAGTGGCTATACTAGGGTGCAGCAAATGCTAACATATTTATAAACTGACAGGGCAGATTGGTATAAGTTCAGCATTGGTTCAAATAAAAATAGCACTTGGCATAGCGCTTACAAAAAAAAATATTTGGTGAACAAGTGAAGATCACTGACACTTTTAGAGGAAGGGTGTTTTCAATGCATTTCCTGATTTTATGTTAAACACAAACCAAAGAAGTTACAATGACCTAGATTAGTGTTGTGTTTACAGCTAAAAAAATTGCCTTTTTATTGGAATATTTAACTATTAGCAATGCAAAATTCAAAGTAATGTGTGAATATACACCATTCATGCATACGGCAGTTTATACATCCATCTGCTGTTCCATCCTTACCTGTATTTAAATAACATTTCTAGACTTTGTGGAAAAGAGTTTAGCAATAAAGATATGACCTCAGTTGAACGGCTGCTTGTCTGATTCATTTTAGTAGCTCAATATATGGTAACAGGGCTGCAGTCACCTGTGGTGATTCACAAAGTTTACCAAGATTAATAGACAATCAAGAGGAAGGATAGAAATTGTCTATGGCAATGCTCAATATGTCTCTCTTAATCAAATCTCCCATACAAAGTTAGTAATCAATACTCCCCATAATGAGAAATGTGCAGGTAGTCTGCATTATAATGAATGGAAATTGTCTGGTACAGCAAATAAAAGAAGACACCACAAAATATCCCATTCACTATTTATTATATCTCCTTAACCAATGGTTATCTATTTGGGCAAACAATTCAGATTGATCTATGTTAATAGCGGTTTACAGATGTCGGTTTCTTGAGGTTTCTTAAAGTTCATGAAGAATTAATCTGAAATTGAGATGCTCGTTCAGCAATTAGGGTCCCTGCCTTTTTGGAGGTTGTAAAATGAAAGAGCTGAACATTGCAGGCAGATTATAGGTGATAATGAGAATGTATTCATCTCGGTTCTCTAGTAGATGTGTGTAAATTGTTTCTCTTTATTCAACGTAAAATGCAGACTTTGGCTCACTGAATAAAAATAAAAGCACTCTATGAGCATTAATGGATGAATATCCAAATGGTTTCCTTACAGTACATCCATCAAGCAGATGGTAATATCTCACATGAGATGATATCACTTTGTGGGCAATATTATCCCACAGCTTTGATTCATCATTGTCGGGAATAATGCAGTGTTTGATAAATTGACCCAATAAAATAACAACGTGAAGGGGTCTTATCGTTCTAGTGATAATATCACCTGTTTGATAAATATACCCAGCTGCAGGTGTTGTTAGCAGTTGGTAACTAGAATTTAGCATATGTTAACTTGTCTTTTCATACTGATAATGCATGAAATGTTAAAGGGTCTGAAATTCAAAATGGCAGAACAAAGATAATAAAGTAAATACATATATGTGGAATCCACCATGTCTTAAGGCTTTGAGTTAATATTTACTACCAAGCAAAGTGTGTTAACATTCTTAACATTACAAGCCATTTCAGACAAGTGGCTGTGCTGACTGTATCACGCTTCAGGGTAACTGCTAGAAATAAAAGTGAGTTTCTGCAGAACAATATATTTCTTAATAATAATAATAGTAATAATAATATCTGCAGTATCTTTAGTTTTGGGAAAAAGAGTTTTTTTTTTTCAAATCTACATGTAATTTCTGGTTCATTTTATTTATTTTTGTTTTTTATCGATCACCGAATAAGCTTCACAACTTAAGTCAATTAATATTTATGAATGTTAAAATTGACCCTTTGGCAACTTGGATAAAACATGCATTTTTAATAGTTATGTATTCATCCAAAAATCATTAGGATTTTTTTTAAATACAGTTAGATGAATATTTGACTCTGTATTTATGTCCTGTAATCCTCTGTATAACATTGCATTGCAGGGAGTAAATGATGTTTAGAGAGCAGATTCCTATCTTCTGACATACAGTGAAGGAAATAAGTATTTGATCCCCTGCTAATTTTGAATGTTTGCCCACTCACAAAGAAATGATCAATCTAAAAATCCATGGTAGGTATTGTAGGTATTGTAACACTGAGAGACAGAATAGCAACACAAAATTCAAATTAAATGCATGTCTAACAGATTATGCTCTGATTTGCATGTTCATGAGGGAAATAAGTATTTGATCCCCTTCATAAAACAGGACTTAATACTTGGTGGCAAATCCCTTGCTGGAAATCACAGAGGTCAGACGTTTCCTGTAGTTGGCCACCAGGTTTGCACACATCTCAGGAGGGATTTTGGCCCACTCCTCTTGGCAGATCCTCTCCAAGTCATTAAGGTTTGGTGGCTGACGTTTGGCAACTCAAACTTTTAGCTCCCTCCACAGATTTTCAATCGGATTAAGGTCTGGAGACTGGCTAGGCCACTCCAGGACCTTAATGTGCTTCTTCTTAAGCCACTCATTTGTTGCCTTGACCGTGTGTTTTGGGTCATTGTTATGCTGGAACACCCATCCATGACCCGTTTTCAATGCCCTGGCTGAGGGAAGAAGGTTCTCACCCAAGATTTGACAGTACATTGCCCCGTCCATCGTCCGTTTGATGCAGTGCAGTTGTCCTGTCCCCTTAGCAGAAAAACACCCCCAAAGCAGAATGTTTCCACCACCCTGTTTGACAGTTGGGATAGTGTTCTTGGGGTCATAGGCAGCATTCCTCCTCCAAACACGACTAGTTGAGTTGATGTGAAAGAGTTTGATATTGGTCTCATCTGACCACAACACTTTCAACCAGTTCTCCTGTGCATCATTCAGATGTTCAGTGGCAAACGTCAGACAGGCCTGGACATGTGCTTTCTTGAGCAGTGGGACCTTGCAGGCACTGCAGGATTTCAATCCTTGTCGGCGTAGTGTGTTACCAATTGTTTTTCTTGGTGACTGGTCCCAGCTGCCTGGAGATCATTGACCAGGTCATCACGTGTAGTTCTGGGATGATTCCTCACTGTTCTCATGATCATTGTCACTCCATGAGGTGAGATCTTGCATGGTGCACTAAACCTAGGGAGATTGACAGTTGTTTTGTGTTTCTTCCATATGCGAATGATTGCACCAACTGTTGTCACCTTCTCACCAAGCAGCTTTGTAGCCCAGTCTAGCCTTATGTAGGTCTACAATTTTGTCCCTGACATCCTTGGACAGCTCTTTGGTCTTTGCCATGGTGGAGAGTTTGGAATCTGATTGATTGCTTGTTCCTGTGGACAGGTGTCTTTTATACAGGTAACAAAATGAGATTAGTAGCACTCCCTTTAAGAGACTGCTTCTAATCTCCGCTTGTTACCTGTATGAAAGACACCTGGTAGCCAGAAATCCTGCTGAATGATAGGGGACCAAATACTTATTTCCCTCAGTGCATAAATTGTTAGACATGCATTTCTTTTGAATTTTTTGTTGCTATTCTGTCTTTCAGTGTTACAATACACCTACCATTCGATTTTTAGACTGATCATTTCTTTGTGAGTGGGCAAACATTCAAAATCAGCAGGAGATCAAATACTTATTTCCTTCACTGTACATGTGTTTATAATCACCCAGCAACTAGAGCTCAGCTACACTTTGTCCTTTCAACACATCAGCTGTTCTTGCCACAGTGATATCACAGTCTCCTTAGTCAGAAGCCAGAAAAGGAGAATAATGTCAATATCTGGCAACCATCAGAGTACTGATTGTGTGTTGTGCTTGTTGCCAGACAATCTTAGGTTGCATAATAATGGGGCAGGGAGATAACTAAACAAGCTTTGGAGGTAAGCAGAACATCTGCAGTTTTTTTCTTTCCAGTGCTAGAGATTCACTTGCCATTAGAGGCTCTTACACTTTAAAAAATGAACAGTGTAGACTTATGCAGCTCTGGCATTGCTTTGGGACTGTCAGATTATCCAGGCATACTGGAAACAAGTGGTTCAGTTTTTAAATGATAAGATGGGGTCTCCAAATCTCTCCAGTATAATGGTAAACCTAGATCTTAACAGATATGAAATTACCTTTTTCCCTGAGAAAATGTTTATGGCAATAAAGCCAGTGGCCAAAAAGTGGAAGTTAGCATTGCCTCCAACAGTAGTACAATGGGTTGCAGATGTTAATGCCAATATGCCTTATGAAAAAAATGTCTCTATATCCACAGTGGCTGCCCAGCTACATTTTGTAAAAGATAGGAAAGATGGTTAGACCAAGACTTCATATGTGCAGACCTTGAACTGTATTCTGTTTGTTTTTAATGCATGAGATTGAGTTAATGCCTACTTCCTTAAACCTCTATGTGCATATAACTTATTTAGAAATCTATCCTATTATTTTGAGGTGCCAATGTCAGAGTCATATCTAGGGTACAGTAATGACAGTCCTTGAAGTTACACAGATTGAGATAACATGGACATGTATATACTTTAGTGTTAGTATTTCTTTTCCCCCTATCTGTTAGTTTTCCAATGTTCTGTCTATTGCTGGTTGTGTCTTTATTATTTAAGACTCTGGCTGGTACCATAACCAGGAAAT